TTTTGTTTTAATATCAAATATTTCTTATTTGCTTATCAAAACTAACGCTGCAGTTGGTCGTCGAAATAGAGACATACCAACATATGGTATGTTCAATTATTTAAGAGGACTTGTGGAATGCTCGTTTATTTACATTTATTGTACATTCGCACATATTGTTTTCACTTTGCTATTTCTTCATTGAAGTACTATGAAAAGCGCGCTTCCCAAAGCCACGACGAAAGAGCGTCAATTTCAAACTGCGAAACTCTTTACCTTTGCAGATTTGAATGTGTGTTGTTGCTATTGTTGCTGCTGTGGATTTTGTCCCATTATGGTATGGGTATTTACCGTTGTTGTATACCTTTGACGGTTGGCATGATTACAGCCATTTCCTGTTTTTATATCCGCCGGGTATGAGCTACTAACACTGCTTCCAGATATACCCACAAACACACTCGCCTACACTCATACTCAAATATGGTGGAGGATATAGTCAAATAAGTTTGGAAAGATTCCATGGCAATTTAGCTTGAAGTTCATTAAGTTTGTGTTTTACTTTTTCCAAAAAGTATTGAAAATTACATGCAAAAAAATAATGAAAATACTACTATTCAAGGTTTTTATAAATATACAATTTCTTGGACGGATAAACGGCTGAATATTCTATAAGGACTTTGCAATGTGGTTAATAAGTTTCTTTATGGTTTTCGTCTTATTGTTTCTCTGTGTTTTAAATATGTTTAATATAAATTCTCTTAGCCTAATTAAATTCTCTACTTGTTTCGGGTTCTCATGAAATAATAAAAATACTGAGAAATATAATAGTTCTCCTAGAGTTTGTATTTGGAGTATTAAATATTATCTTTTTGGTCCTTAGTCGGAGACACTACACCGAATTAGCCAGGAAAACGACCATTTGCGATCGATCATTGCTTGGGGTGGTAATGAGTTAGTATTTGCTCAATGGGGGCAACTTATATTGTATTCTATGGCTCCTCGAGGGAGCAAAAGGCAACTTAGTCGTCTACATACAAAATGAAAGAAACTTGTAGTGACTGAAATTAAGAGCACGACAAGGACAGAGAAGAGTTTATAAATCTCGTCACGTTTGTTGGCGTCAATGATATTAACATAAATATACAATTTTTGGGAGCTTGCCATGAATGTTTTGGGGTTTGTAAGTGCGTCGTTGTTGTAATTCTTTATCCACTCTTTAAATGTAATAACACGGTGTTCAACGAACTGAAAGAATGTCTCCAACAATGCACGCAAATACACACATATTACTTGCCACATATATATGACAGTTAACAGTTCTAACTAACTTATATAATAAAGGCAAACGACTACCTTCTTGTTCACATTATTGGAGTTCCAGGCCAGCCAAATATTTTGCAAACAAATATGGTCTAACATCATCGCACAGATAAGGTTTGCAGGTGCGTACGAGGGACACACCTGATATGATTGCTTGCGTAAACAAGTGAATAGGCTGTGGAGGAGATGGAAAAGCTCTCATTTCCGGACTTGAAGAGTTCGTGTTTACCTTTGCGTTCTTCCGATTAACCCACAAGTTGGCCCAGTAGTAAATTGCTCCCAGTCCTTGCGTTGACTGGATTCACGTGATTGTTGGCTTAGGGAAGCAGATATTATATTTTTGTATATGCCATCACAATCTAAAACGTCACTTATTTGATTAAAAAAACTAGAGGCTAACATTGAAATAACTGTAATAGTTAGAATAAATTTTTATTTCATTTAACATTACAGTGTTTTTAATTGTTGTTTATTTAATTTCACCTTATGTATTGCTTGAAAATATACGAGATTTAATGCCTGTTTTTTTTTTTTTATAAAACTTGTATTGCTCTCCTTTATAAATGTAACTATAAATGTAAATTCTGCCTGACTACTGGGTACTCATGCAACTCACATATCGAACTGGCTAGAGCCAACCTTTTTCAGTCCGCAACACGAGCACATTTGCCTTCGTAAGAGCTTTCTTTCAATTATGATTGCAAAGCAAATAACAATTTGTTCCATATCCTTGTCTCTGGAAGTAGTTTGGACTTGTTATTTCCCTTTCGCATAAAAGATACAAACATTTACATGCATAATATTGTGTAAACAATATTGAAATGTTTTACTGCGGGCGAAATTGCGCAACTAGAAGGATATCAATAAAACGCAACAAAAATGTGGCAATAGAAAGACAGTTCACAAAGTCCCTCCGAGGGGAGTGGTTATATAAGCTCACCGAATGTAGTTTGCATAAGAAAAATAATTGATTTCCCTTTTAGGTAACTGGTAGTGTGTAAACGCTTGAGGTATTAGAAAAAGAGCAGTGCGAGTGTGCGCAGAGCACCTAGAATGTCACGTATACGCCACAGCTACCCAATTTGAATGTCATTTGAAAAATTTCATTTCAATTTGAAATTTTACTGAAAATTCAAGTCCTCATTTGCACTTGCAACTGTTACACATCCCTCCATAAACATCAAATACAAAACGATTTACGCAATTAAAATGCCATTTTCAAGCAATGCTAATTCGGCTGAAGTGTACTCCGAATGGTGCAGGTGTAGATTAGTGTCTGGTTTTCGTGAGGCTTCACAGCCTCTGAATTCGGAAATTATAATAGAACAGATATCTTTTAGTCTGTGCTAATTACCGTCGTAGTTGTTGTAATCTAAGCGATGCGAACTTAAATCGCAATGAGTTTTCTTGCCTAATTGCCCAAAATAAAAAGCGAGAGTCTGTAGGCACAGTTTTCAAGAGGCTAAGAGGCTGCGGCTGGTGCAGACTGGTTTGGCATTATCTGTTTTTGTGCTGTAAAGAATAAAGCGAAATGAGAGCTTAGTTTAAGAAAAGTAGTGCTCGAAAGAATTGAAAGGCAGTGAAGTGATTTTTTTGCTGAATTTAGGCAAATTATTAAAATAGTGCTCTCAATTGTTCCTTGCTATTGAAGTTTGAGAATATTTAATGAAGTGTCATTCACAAAATCCTGCTAAAAGTAGTTTTGTTATTTTCTGAGTTAGTTATTGGGGAACTTGGAATTTGTCAGCAGAACCTCCTTAGCATAAAAAATAATCTTTGGTCTTGTAACCTGGAAAAAGGTGTGGTCGAATATTCCCAAAATTTACAGCAGAAAAAAATTTTACTTTCAAGAAGTTCCGTTTTCGCGAGTGCACGCGGTTCAACTTTGAAGTCCAAAAAAATTAGAAAACGTCACTCTTTCAGTTTTTTGCTCTTTATAAAGAGCGAGTGTACTGTAGAGGTGTGATAAACTGAACAATTCAAACCTGAATACCACACACTAAAAAGCCCCGCAAAGTATTTGGGAAATTCAAGAATAATTTTATTTACTGTGCAATTTGTCCAGAATGTGATATAATTTACACCAGCTTGGTGAAAGTTAAGCAGCTAGATGATATATCAAACAGTTCACAGTCAACTAGAGTACTCCACCGGCCACGATGTCAATGAAATAATTTTAAATATTCGCACTGCTTCAGCCATGTTTGTGGTTAGCTAACGGGTGGTACAAGAACATTCAATTCAAGTTAATATAAAATAACAGTTTAAGCGAATTTATTACATCTTTTAATCAAGCTGAGGCCCTTAGATATCTTAAATTCGAAGCAGTAGCTGTTTAGGCTTCCTAATTAAAGATATATATTTGAATATAATAGCTTTCGCTATTCTCACTAATTGCGCATTGGAGAAATAAAAGATAGCGGTCCTTCCTTCTGGATTAAAGGCGATTGTTGCATAAATTTGGCCAAATGAAAAAGTGTTCGAACCAACCTATGCTTCCATGAATAAAAGTTGAATACACTTTAGCTCGTGTAGCACTTTTGTTTAAAAAAATTACATGGCGAATAATAAGAAACTTCTCAGCATCAGCTTGCCTTTATTAATTGGGAATGTTCACACCTACTTAAAGGTCCAATGTCTTTTTACAGTCTGTATAATCATAATTTTCAAATAAAAAAGTCTCCCTTACATGAACTTGACTTTGATTAGTTTGTATGGATGCTAAATGCTATACATAATAGTTCTGAAAATTGTTTTTTAAAGATTAGATGCTGTCTGACAGCATCTTAAGATTCAAGATGCTGTCTTCGAAAATAATTATTCCCAAATTTCGTAAAGATATGTTCAATAAAAAGTTTTCATACAAAAATTTCATTTTGATCGTTAACTTTGTATGGCAGCTACATATCTGCTATAGTGGTCCGATACCGGTGGTTCCGACCAATGACCAGCTTCTTGCAGAGAAAAAGATGTATACTAAATTTCAGATATACAAGTATATCTCGAATGCTGAAAGACTAGTTCGCCTATATATATATATGTATATAATAAAAATGAAATTTAGATAACAAAGCGTAGTTCCTATTATAGTGACTATATAATGTATATGGCAAGTACCAGAATGAAATTTGCTGTCAGGTATGAGATACATAAAAGTTGAGCAAATTGTGCGCGATGCCTAAATGGATTCGCAAAAGTTTTATGTTTTGGTTTTGCTTTTGTTAGATTTTTTTACTTGGTTGTTAGCTGGCTTGGAAATAGGGGAGCATCATCTAGCAAAAGGCAATTTGCCGTTGTGCTGGCAAATGCTCAGTCGACACGTATACACCGTTACAAATTGGCGGCCAACTCATGAAACAAACTGAAATTACCAGTGCAAAATTAATGGGGAGCTAAGCGCTAGCGTACGTTTCATGACTATTGTGAAAAATTTTTTTTGACTTATTTACACTACACTGGCAAAATCGTTTGAGTGCCACAAAATTTCAAACAAACATTGTTGTTTGCACTTTATATAAATAGCTTCGGGCCTTACAACCAAAAATCTAACTCTTTCCCAATTAATTAAATAATTTTTAATAAATATTAATAAATAATAATATTAATTAATTTTCGGAATTGTAATTGACATGATTATGCTTAATAACTTTTTATATCCTGCTAAGTTGAAATCTAATTCCTCTCAGTGTTTTTTCTTGCAGATATCGATCATGCAACGCTCTAAATGACGACGACACCTTTAAACGACGGATAGCGCGGGATGTATCAGTTTTATTTGTGATATTTGCTTTCCTTAAGTTAAAGACGTACGTTAAGCTTAAATGAGATTGTCATAGATACATATCTACATATATTGCTAAATGAATGTGAATTCACATTTGTTCTTTATACCGTCTCTATATATATACTTTTATAGATGTTGTGATTTATTTGATTTTTTTTTATTTGAAAAAGTCTTTAGTTGAAATTTCAACCAACAAATTTTGAGTTTAGCGGTTTTTGAGAGCAAAAACCAAAACGAAAAAAGACAAAGAAAGAAACACCAAAGACCAGAACAATTTTTAACTCAAAAATAATATAGAATTACTTTAAGTAATTTAATATTAAAAAAGATAATATTAAAATAAAATATAACTATACGAATACAAAAACATATAACTAATATAATATATAAAGAAAATAGGCTTTAATTACCCGAGGCCATAAGAGCAAAGTGATAACTACGTAATGTATAATAATTGAAGAAATATTCACCAAAACATCCCATTGAGCATATAAAAGACAAAAATATTCGACTAAACCTGCCCAAAGTGTTCCCTAAGCTCTTGTCCGTCCAAATATCAGCAGCAGCTACTCAATCGCAACTGTAAAGGCGGAGTGTGTGAGATTCGCGGAGTCACCATGTCACATGGGGGCGGCCAGGAATGTTTGTGATATTTCCAGCTGATGAACTCATTTTGATGACATATGGTCCCGCCATACCACGTCTAGCACCACGCCCAACACTCGACTGTCTGCGTGAACCCGAAGTGCCAATTGAAATACCACCAAGATCATTACCACCGCCGTTACCATCGGCCATCGCCACCACCGCTGATACAAACAAAACAACAACTAATAACAGTGCCGTAACCGCAGTCGCCATAAACAGTAGAACTGCCTCCAGTAAAGGTGTTAACAGCAGTAACTTCAGCAGCGCCAACACCACCGTACCAGCACACAACTCGTCTGCGCCGCGGCTCTTGAATAGCGGCACGTCCGCCGCTGCGCCAGTCTTCACCACCGCCTTCACCTACGATCCCACCCAACCAGCCCAACCCGCTCCACAGCAATACGCCTCGAACTCCCTACCGCCAACGCCAACTCGTCACAACTCACGCACATCGCGCACGTCCTTGACACATTCGGCTTCGGCCGTGCCTACACCGAACGCAACCACCTCCAAACGTTCAAGTGTACGAAGTAATAGAAGTAACCGCAGTGCGCACCAACATACGCCACCGAGTCAGCATCCATTACAGTCGCCATCACCGCCGAACCTACAACATCAGCAGCAACAGCTGCTTCTACAGCAGAAGCAACAACAAGAGTACCAACATCAGCAACTACTTCTACAACAGCAGCAGCAACAAGAGGAACAGTTATTGCGACACTTGCAAATTCAGAAGCATAACAGTATTTCAAAGCGACTCAGCAACTCAGCTACTACCATCCAAATGCAGAACGATGCGACGGATAGCTCGCGATCGATGCAGGGCAGACAAGGCGGGCAAAGACCCACGCTAGAGCGCAGTACAGCTATACACGGCACCACGCCGCAACGTGGTCTTACGCCGCAGCGGGGAGCGACACCACAGCTCAGCTATGAGACAGAACAATTGGACGAATATGCGGGTGCCACATCACTTGGCGGAGGTGGTGGACAGTTGATTGGTGCGCGCGATCGTAGTCCAAGCATATTTCTCGAACCTCCTTCGCCCAATCCAACACAGATTATTTATGGCCCAGGCTGGGGTCGACCGATGTCGCCGATGGATTTGCCACCAGAACCGCGGCCTAAGTCCCCCACGCCAAGCAAATCGTCTCGTTTGCGTCCAAAATTACATCTGCCCTTAGGCAGACTAGGACGTTCTACCTCAACGGATCAGCGCGAATCAAATCGCTTGAAGGAAGACCTACAACTACTTGTCGATAACCCAGTCTTTAATTGCGAAAACTTGCGCCAGCGCAATTTCGATGCGTTCTTCGAGTCGGGGGAACCAAAGTATAAGTTGCAACCGATGACGCCAAATTCGGCTCCCACCGGGTCCCTGTCGAGTGCCAGCAGTCAGTATTCGCCGCAAATAGATGGACGTAGCACAAAGAGTGCCAGTGGAGGCGGTGGTGGGGGCGGATTGTTTGCACCCACGCCAAATGAAGGCAAGACAGCAATGAATTCGCGAACACGTTCCACCGAGCAACCAGTGTCACCGAACCGCGAAAGGCGTGCGGCGTCCGTTAGTAGTGGTGTTGTGCCCCCGAAAGGTGACAGGTGCCCTCAAAACACTCATTTTTTTAAAATAACTAATCCTATTAAGATTTACACTTTTGCAGTTAAAGAGGATTTTCTAAAATAAAACAAAAAATAAAAATAAATAAATAAATTGAAATAAAAGACCGATTATTATCAATGAAAAGAGATTGCTGAATTAATAGTTTTGAAACAGTTAAAGAGAATGAACTGAGAGCTTAAAAAAGATTTAAACGAAATTCGAAATGACTTAAAATTAACCTCAAAATTTGTTACTTTTATTGCTTTATTTAATTAACAGCTAAATTAGTCCAAATTTGGTTTGCTTTTTTGTTTGCTGTTGTTGTTTTTCGCCTAACTAACAATTTTTCGTCTAAGTCGATTTTAACCTTGTCAAATTTGCAGCTTCGAAATTAAAGCATTGTTTTGATAAAATAAACAGGGTTGCCACATACCAAATGGAAGATATGTTCTCCAAAGAATACCGAAATGCTTTCGTTGATAGTGGGAATGAGAGATGGTTATAGAATGACTCTGCAGAATTGGTAACAAAACATGTTTAAGCAGCAAACGCTTTTATGTAGGTTAAAATATTCCAATAAAATTACTCATGAAGCTCATATTCATGAAGCCCATTATAGAAGGTAGGAAGAAAAGTTTTTTCAAAGACATTTGTTGACTTTCTCAGCTGTCGGACAATTGCTTTGTGAGATACAGAAATTTCGGTTAGGCATTTAGGGATTTTGACCACGGCTTACTGAATATTATCCGATCTCTGTTCCGGGAAGCAATCATTCGTAGATTGTATGCTAAATTTCGTGGTCCTATCGGCTTTTCTAATAACGATATCATTGACATACAAAATAGAAAGCTAAATGTGAAATGACCAAGCGATGGGGTCCTAGGTTATAAATTAATACCACCAAACTATTGACCGAAACTGTACTATGCAGTTACTTTCTAGGAGTTCAAAATTTATTTCAGTTTGTTTTTATAAAAATTTTAGAAGTATTTTCAGTCTTACTAAAATGCTGTCGAGTTATGAGTTTAAAAATGTCTCGTGGTTTCGGGGCACGCCATTGAGAGCCAAATCGTTGCTATTGTATTCTGTAAATAATGTTGTACGCCATTTGTGGCACCACTCTCTCGTCACACAAGTTGGAGTTGTTTAGTATTGTTGTTGTTGTTTACGTAATTTGCGCGAACTGTGTACAACAAAGCACACATGTCAAATACAAATGCCAACGCATATACTTACATGTATGGTTGAATATGCATAGTCCCCGTTAACCTCCGTTGGGAGCCACAATGGCGCTGTCACATTTTATTTGCATTGCTATTGTTGTTGCAGTCGACCTGCAGCTGTGTTATTGTACCTGTGTGGCATGTTATGCGCGTATTTTTCACAATGTTTACAGTTTGCATGGTACATACGCGAGAGCTAACGAAAAGTACATGACGAGACTCCGGGGGTTGCCACCCCCCTTTTCACACCCTCGTCCATGGCAAAAACATTGGTTGCACAAAAGCGATTTGGTATTAAAGGGAGCGGGGTTGCAGGAGCACGCGCATGCAACATGTAGACAACATAAAAAGCAACAAAGAGAAACAACAACAATAATAATAACAGAACAAACAATAACACTGATAGTCATAGCAAAAAACAACTAAAAGAATTGAATTCGTGCAAATGAATTTTCATTGAAGTGACTTTCTGCGGCGAGTGCGCCTTAGTCATGAAGCGCGAGGCGTGCGTTAACTGTCCTAGCGAACCCAATAATAATATTACAAAATAAAATAAAATAAACCGTGCAGAGTGTGAGTAGAATAGAGCAAGTTGGTTGAAACGAATGCCAAAACTATTCAGCATAACTGCAGCATGTGGCCACGGACCGACCCGGGCGCGAACTTTAGTGGCAATATTACTCGACACATCCGTTGAGAGCGTGTCACATGGCTCGGGTAGTTGTTGCAGCTAACTGTTGTTGCATGTATAAAAACTTCGGCGCAAAGTGTTGTTTTGCGTAACCTGTCCGTTCTTCCGCCATTTCGAGGATAAGATGCAGTGGACGCCGCTTAGGGGTTGGCTATTGCTGCAGAGGTACTTCACTTGCCATTGGTCTCTGAAGAAAAGTTGTTAATGATATTCATTTAGAAGCACAAATAGTATCCGAATATATGATAACTGTCGGATTTTAAAGTAAATATATACAGATTATCCAAAAATGTTGCCTTTAATATTATTAAAATCTATGAGGTTATTTAATCATCGGTTCCACTTCAGCATAGCTCTCCCTTACTTGTTTAGTGTGAAAACATGATATTTTCGTAGAAATTTGATATTCATAAATCCATGTTCCAAATACAGTGCAACGCGATTGAAAAAATATATCGGATTAATGTCAGTATATTTGACAACAGGCTACTCGCAGCGAAACAAGCCAAGTAGTGTGGGGATAACAGTAACAGTTTCACATTTCATTGACGTAAACACCAACAGTTTTCGCTGATAATTATTAATAATTGCAATTAATTAGGAAGTGTTGATTGTGGTTTTCCTTAGTAAATTATATGGCATTATATTATACTGAGGGTCATCGGACGTTTTCTATTTTGATAAAGTATCGAGTTTCCAATTATATATACCCCTAGTTTTTGCCAAAATATTCGCTCCTCGAATTGCATTACAGTACATATGTTTCCGATTATTGTAGGTATAAACGATTGAGAACTTCCAACCTTTTTGCTACACGAAAGTAATTTATGTGAAAAATCAACGTTGGTTGGAGGCTAAAAGGAGAGTAATAGGAAACTTGGAGAATTTAAAGAAATTGCGAACGAAAAATTATTTATTATGTTCGTTTCCAAGTTGTTTGTGCCAAGTTTTTTATTAATTGAAGTATTTTTGAACCTCCAAATTAATTCATAAAATCCGCACCGAGTTGCCCAAGAGAGGAAATATTTGTATATTTCTGAAATACAGTAATTTCAACCCCGTTTTTTTTATCTATTGAATAATAAAGTAGCACTGGTTTTAGAAAGTTTATTCTACGAATGTCAAATACGTTATTCAGTCATTGATTCGACCGCAAATCCATAGAAGAGCCAAGGCGGAATAGCACAAACTTTCACATACATTTTTGATTTTGATTTTAAAAATTCATGAGTTCAGGCTTCACTACGCGAAAGGTAAAATCGCACCCTAAATACGCATCGCTGCCGCGAGTTCATTCGTACTCGTCCTTATTTGTAGCTGCCGTTTATCACGCGACTGCGGCAGTTATGTCTGTGAACATTTGCGTTTGAGAATTTTAAATTGCGGACGGTTGTTTACCTTTGACATTAAGAATTCATAACAAAATTAGAAGAAGCATGGCAAACTTGTTGTACACATATTTAGACGATAAAACGTCGGATTCGCTCGCCCTGCGGCATTGAGTGGCGTTGCCGTTCTGCGCTTGGTAATTGTCCTTAGCGTCTGCATAGTTGTGATTCGGTTTTTGCACGCTCGGCCTCTTTACTCTCCTTCCTTAGGTGGCCAACAGCCTGTTCGCTTCAGTTTGACAGCTGTAAACAAGCATAAGAACCTCAATTGAGCCATTCATGAATAATTTATGAGGTGCTGTAATGCTCCCCTTTAAAGGAACTGGAAGGAAAGGAAGGGCCGAGCCAGTAGTAGCAATTATCTTCGGCACACGGGTCGTTACAGCTGATTGCACTGCCACGCGTATTATTTGCTCTAAGCCATACTGTTGGGTTGCGACTACACGCTTTGCTCCGAATAAAATAATTAAAAAATGAAGTGAATTCAATAGTGTTAAATATTACTCAAAAAGTGTGTCAGAAGTCAGCGCCAGCTTTTATATGGGCACATGAATTATTAGCTTCAGCACTCTTACTAGCGCTAGCACTTGCACTAAGACCAAGCTACGCTCCTGTCTTTGCGCTGGCCGTTTTCGAGCTCGTTACAAACGCCGCCCTCTTCTGGGAACAACCAGTTCTCTCCGGTTTATGTCACAGAATATCCTTTAATTCCTTTATATTTTATTGCTCTGGCGCATAGGGGGGTATAGGGGAAAGTTTTCTCATAGCCCTTGCTACGCAAGTAAGGTTATCTTATTATGGAGGGCTCTAGGTATCCGTAAGCTCCGTTCGCGACGGGTCTATTGAAGGTCGCATGATACCTTAATCCAGTCCGTTCTGTACCGCTAACCATAGTAAGAGTTTCCATCTGAATGCTGTGCTATTGAGGAGCAACGAACACCCACATAAAAAGTCAGACCTTAGACCAGCTCGTCTCTGCTTACGCCGGTATCTATTACCAGTCGGTATACTTGAGAAGGGTTCAGAGTGGAATTTTCGCCAACCAATTCTGCTTCTAAAAATCGTTTTTAAATATTTCCGCACGAATATTGATTTGAAATATTTTCATTTATTGTACTGTGCATGAATTTGAGATTTTAAGATTTTTCGCATGTTTGAACTTTGTTGCGTGGTTTATATGTGATTACTTAATAAATTCATTTTACTAGAAGATAATTTCTCAGTTGAAGTATAATTTTCATATAATTTTTAGTTTTTGTTTCGTTTTTTGTTTTTTAACGTTTAAATTCGCCAATTCTCTCACTAATATATTGAAATTGTTTACTCCATTCGCTTCTCTTTACAAATTGAAATGGCTAAATCACCTTCGCTTCAAACTTTTCTCAACATATGCAACATATACTGGACTTTGAGTGCCAGCAGATTCTTCAACAAAATCTTCAAGTGGTCGAAAAAGTCGTAGATTTTTTGGGTGGAGGGGGCCACGCAGTGGTTCCCTTGGCCCGCGGGCCGGAATGGCTTCCTACAATGGGGTGCTAAAGGATTACGGACACAGCAGTTTGAATGAGGCTTTCAAATCCCAAAACAATATCAACTTTAAGTTAATCAAAACAGGTGAGTGACACAAAAATGCATTTCGCTTTTTATCTAGCCAGCCAATTTGTATCTGACTGTAAATAATGATTGAGTTTGAGAGTGAAGTGGTACTGTGCTTAAAAAGAGGGTCTTTGAGAAAAGCTTTTCTATTAATACCGTAAGAGTGTTTCGTTATCAAATAACTTAGATTCATCTAAACTGCGAAGTGACCCCATTTTGTTAATGAATTTGGCTTTGTCCAAGATAGTACCTTTACTAGCGTCTGATTCTAGGAGTTTAAAAATATTGATATACGATATGACTATCAGCCATTGTGATTAACTGAATTCGGATAAGATAAGCTGCGCGCAAATAAATTTCCATAATCAAGTGTTTTGTTTACTTTTTCTGGTTCTATAATTTATGAACAGTTCTCACTGTGTGTTTGTGTACATTTATAATAGTGGGTTATCCCAAACCGAACTGTCAAACAACACTTTGCCCATGTCAAAAGCGACACATTCGCTCCCACAGTAGAAAGTTTATTCCCTCCGCAGCTGTGTGCTAGGGTCCCATGTGGCCACAGTCGCGACGAGGGCAATTACATAACGGTGGCATACGCAAGTGACAAAGCTCAAAATTGGCTGAATACCCTGAGGCGAGTGACAGCTTTACGAGCGGATATTGTCCTTTAGCGCGACAATTATAAAATTCGGTCGCCAGTTTCCATTTCTGCCCACTTCTCTGAGTCTAAATACAAAATTTGCAAATGTATGGACGTTTTAAGCGATGTTGGGATCAGCATCCTAGGGTATGATAAAGTTTTGGAGCTCAGTAAAATCGGTACTGGTAATATGAGAGCATAAGAAATACTGGGTAAATTAGCGCGCGAGAAGTAAATTTTAGAATTCATTAGAAATAAAGATTAAATACAATAGAATAGCTTTCCACAGCTCTCTTAGCTGTATAACAGAAGTCAAGCGAGTGAATTTTTAAGTTAGAATTGAAAACTTTTCTAAGAAAATATTTTCAAGCAACCAGATTACGATACGTTTTTTGGAATATACTGCATACAGATGTCGCTGACGTTACTTGATTTGAAATTTGAAATAAATTCTATTCAGAATTTATTGAAAAAGTCAAGCTCTTGATACTGGTACTTAGAAATTTATACCTAAACATTAGTTTTATCTTAATTTGATTTCTAATTTTTTAAGACTTTCACTGATTAATGAAAATATATTCCATTTGAAGTATCTCTCCAAAGCACATAAGAGGCGCAACCCAAAAGATTGCGTTAGTTAAATTTTCCAGGGTGTACAAATGCGAAATAGGTCACGATTCTTTATAATCAATTCCATATTATACCAGTGCCCACTTTGTATACTTTGGATAAGAGAACACTCACGTCGACGTGTTGGGGTTTTTGGAATTTTTATTTTCCGCTTGCGACGCGCACTTTGCTAACGCTTTTGACTACTGCAATTGAATGTAATCCAGATAGGTCTGCACGTATGCAAATATACAATAGGTATGTACAACATGTTCGAATATCTGTATGCCGTCGGGTTCGTCAGTGTCTGTAAATGACAAATTACAAGGTTTTGCTTTTGAAATTGTGGCGCTTTGCACAAAAGGGAACTCACGTCAGACAACCTTTTTGACAAAATGTAACTATGGGCTCCATTTGCATTAGCAGGTATATGTGTATGTATGTATATATGATATATGTATTATATATCATAGAGAAGTGGAAGCTACATCCCATTTATATATGCATCGACAAGTATTTACAATGTTACTGAATAAATATGTACTTTTAAAATGTGTGTGTGTGTGTCTTTTGATTGCCATCGATTTATAGGTATATTTATTGTTGTTGTAGTTTTAGCCTTCATAACGCAGTAAAAGCAAGCGTATCGGGTACTTTCGATCAAAATCAGCTGAAGAATAAATTGCAATTTATAAAAGAGCACAAAGTGACAGAAATCCTGCAGGGAAAAATAAAATTCGTCAAAAAAAAAAAACAAAAAAAAAAATATTTACGTTTCAAATCGGTACAACTCTTTTTCAATTTTCAATTTTTATTTTTGATTTCTACGTTTGTTCCGCCCTTGATTGATTTGATCTCTATACTATCCTTAATTAGAAACTGGCACCTCTTTGTCCGAAATCTGGGAATGTACATCACATAAATAAATATGCTTGCTTATGTGGAAATGAGAGGGGCGGTCGACTATGTAGTTGAGCTTCCGATCATTGCAAGTTGATATTAGAATTAGTACCTTCCAAACTCTGAACCGATTTTAGTAAAATTTAGCACATTGTGGCCAGTTTGATACAACTTAAAATATAGGATAGTTTATATCTCAGTTATGTTAAAATTCAAAGCCATTTATAAATTATGTAAGTATATATTTAAGCATGAGAATATGTTCAAAATTCAAAAAAAAAAAAGAATTATAATAATAACAATTATATAATTATTATAATATAATATGCAATAATTATATAATTATTATAATATAATTGTTATTATTATAATAATAATTATTTTAATTTTGAGTAAAATGCAAATGACAAATATTTGTATCAATAATTTACAAAATAAACCCCAAGTACAATCCTTCTTATTCTAATACCGGTAATAACTTTTCCTCCTTTATTCGAAAATTTTTTGCACTGTATTGAGTAGTTTATATAATAGTATGTTAATGTGTGGACAGAAATATACTCTTATGTTTGCTAATTGCGAGAGCTAATTTATCTATTCGGGCGCATAGTATGTATTATTTACAACAAAAACTATACATAACACAACATATGTTTCGTTAGAGATTTGCTTCTCTTTGTAATACGAGTATAATGCGGTTAGGAGGGAGTATGAGGTATTGCGTGATATTCTCTGTCGACAATGCAGCCGCGAGTGAGGGCAGAGCGAATACCGCTACACTACATTTTTGTATATATAACGGGAACCACATATGCAATATGAAATTAGCGCTTTATTGGTTTTGATATTCGGATTATGTATCATTGCACTCATTGTGTTCTTTGTACCTGTAGGAAATCAAATATAATGTACAACCCATTCCAAAAAACCCGATTCACTTTGTTTAAGTCATTGATCAAAGGTGATTGTATCGCCTTCAGTTTTTGTTAGTTAACAGTTGTAACTATTGCAAACATTTTTTTAATAATTTTTTTATTATTTATTTTTTCAGTTTTCCAACTAACCAAGGGGGTATACCTTGAATATTATGCAAGAAGTGGCTAGTTCTTAAAACAATTTTCTTTAAAAATTTTGTCTGCATATGATTTGTACATACTATAGAAAAATTTTATGTGAGATAAATAAAAGCAAAATCAGAAAAAAACTGTGTACTCTCTGTTATGATATAATTTTGATATGTTTCTGTTTATCCGTGGGTTCTTTGATTTAGTTACTATAAGGAAGATGAAGTACTTACCAAATGAAGTTTAGTAGAGCTTAGAGAGTTTACGTTTTTTACGATCAAAAAGAAAGCCGTTTCCGAACAATAAAAAATGTTCGACGTTTGTTTGTTAACGTTATTTGGAAACTGTGACCGAGGCCAGTTCGTGCCAACCTCCAGCTTTTTTTACCTACTACACAGCGACGGCCTTCAATATGAACTTCTACCATTGCTATTCAAAAATGTGTAACTTAATTTTACCATTACATTATTGCTAATGAACGTCTAATAATTACATAACCCCTTTGAAGTTCTTTTATGAGCTTTGAATAGAAAAAAAGTTCCGTTTAACATAATTATGCATTCAGCGCCAAACTGTTGGCGAAATCTTCAATTAAACTATTAAGTGCTTGTTAATAAAAGTTTTTAGTTTGAAAAGCACTTATGCCACTTTTTTAAGCTACCGGCTTATAAGAAAATTGCGCGAGCCTTAGAATGGTTTCTAACAACGCCGTATCAATGCAGATGGGAAAAAGAAAAAAGTGGCTAAAAGATGAAAATTAAAAGGCAAACTTTCATTGTCTGTCTCAGTGAGTATATGAAGAGCGACCTATTCGCATGCTCAATCAGGCAACGCGGATAATGATACGCTTTTTATTGACCTTTGAAAACGAGTGAGAAGAGCGGTTCGCGTGAAAAGCGAAGAAAAAGTTTTTGCCCACCTATTTTTAACAAACAGTGGAAATTTTTAATGAACGAGTTGGCGAAACGTGTAAGAAAAGTGACGCAGAAATAGATGAATGACGGTGAAAAATATAAGAGCGGTGAGCAGGAGCGATTTCAAGTGCCGTAATAAAAGGCAATGTTGATATTTGAATTGAACGCTCCTCCGATCCGAGAGCTTTATTCCCTTACTTTGGTGTAGTTTGTTTTTTCACTTTCATTATCCTCTTCAAACTACAACAGTAACGGTCAATATTGATATTTGGTTAGTGGCTGTTTGAGCACTTGAGCAAAAAGTGATTAAAAGAAGATTGAAGTCGTCGGCATAAAAATGTCGTCAAATTGTAATGTCGTTGTGTGAAAATTAATAAAATTAATAAAACAATAATTATATGGCAAAAGATTTTTTGTCTCGATTTTTTCGAATTATTACAACATAAAATTTCTGGCATTTGGGTGGGGAGCTCTAGGGTCCAATTTTTTGAAAGTTAATATTTTATTTGGAAAAATAAGGAATGATGGATTACAAATTTCATTGAAATAAAATTGTTGTTATTTTCTAAAGAGTTGTCTTATTCCATTTGCTGGAGTTTTTCAAAGCACGTTATGTTCCTAAATTAAATCGCATCGAGTTTTACATTGATGAAGATGGGTGGCTGTAAAAAAGTTAGACATTCTAAGCCCAGTAAACACTCGTAGCCTATATTTCTAGTTGGCGCGGAGGTGTTTTTTGAGTATCTTTATCACCCTCCGTCCAAGTTTCCAAGTAAAAGTTATAGTTATGGAGAGGTCTGTACGCTACTGTATATTCACGCATCCTAACGAAAAAGGGTACCGCTAACTGGCAATGCGGAACCGGATTATTAGCCACAGTTTAAAGGT